ACTCACCCAAAACCAAATAAATACTGAATAACTGAACCTTATAAATTGTATATCTTAAATGTTTCTCACAATTATATCACATAAATGTTAAACCTAAAACCCAATCTAACTTTATTATTTTTTAAATACACTACCTAACAGAATACTCCATTCTACTGAATGTACAACAATGCATACAACCATATGACCTGTCTTTGTAATACTCACTTGTGCTTTATAGTAATCTGTTTACATTAAAGTTTTATCACCGATGTCATCATTGCTTAGTTCATCTTAAGTTAATTTTAAGCCAGCCCGTAATGCTATGCATAGTATAAGTGGCTTTGGCATACTGCTCTTTTCTGTTTTTTTTGTACCTCTGTATGTGTGCACAAATTTTTAAATAAATAAATAAATAAAAGGAATAATTTTCTACAGTTACCCCCAGTAACACATTTTCTCTTATGTTAGATTAGAGAAAGTGTTATTCTTGCCGTCACTTGTACAAGTTATCTGGCTACGACATCTCATATTTATGTTTATTGATTCTATTGTGGGGTGTATTTATCATCTTTATATGTTATGCATCGTGTTTATTATATAATTTTGAAAAAAATATCATGGATGGATTAACGAAAATATGTATATTAGCATAATAGTATATGACATTTAATGAGACTCGATTATTATTATCATTACTAATATGATTTCTCAAGACATAAGGCACTCTTTACTGATTTTAATGTGTACCTGCATGCCAGCACAGTATGTAAGTTTATTTAGGTACAGGTATACATTTATGAAGGATGAGGTTAATCATAGAATTGATGAGGGAAAAAAGGTGAGTGGTGCGTTGAGGTATATGTGGAGTCAAAAAACGTTATCTATGGAGGCAAAGAAGGGAATGTATAAAAGTATAGTAGTACCAACACTCTTATATGGTGTGAAGCTTGGTTGGTAAATGCAGCAGCGAGGAGACGGTTGGAGGCAGTGGAGATGTCCTGTTTAAGGGCAATATGTGGTGTAAATATTATGCAGAAAATTCGGAGTGTGGAAGTTAGGAAAAGGTGTGGAGTTAATAAAAGTTAGTCAGAGGGCAGAAGAGGGGTTGTTGAGGTGGTTTGGTCATTTAGAGAGAATGGATCAAAGTAGAATAACATGAAAGCATATAAATCTGGGGAAGGAAGCGGGTGTAGGGGTCATCCTCGAAAGGGTTGGAGAGAGGGGGCAAAGGAGGTTTTGTGGGCAAGGGGCTTGGACTTCCAGCAAGCATGCGTGAGCATGTTAGATAGGAGTGAATGGAGACGAATGGTACTTGGGACCTGACGATCTGTTGGAGTGTGAGCAGGGTAATATTTAGTGAAGGGATTCAGGGAAACCGGTTATTTTCATATAGTCGGACTTGAGTCCTGGAAATGGGAAGTACAATGCCTGCACTTTGAAGGAGGGGTTTGGGATATTGGCAGTTTGGAGGGATATGTTGTGTATCTTTATATGTGTATGCTTCTAAACTGTTGTATTCTGAGCACCTCTGCAAAAACAGTGATAATGTGCGAATGTGGTGAAAGTGTTGAATGATGATGAAAGTATTTTCTTTTTGGGGATTTTCTTTCTTTTTTTTTTTGGGTCACCCTGCCTCGGTGGGAGACGGCCGACTTGTTGAAAAAAAAAAAATACATACGTATAATTATCAGAGTATATATAAAATATGAAATAACTTTTAAAAACACTTGAAATTTTGTTGTTTCCAGACATAATGGCGAGACTTAGTGCTTAGATCTCACAGAGAATGTAAACAAACCGGGTGGGGCGCAGTGACCGTATTAGAAAGTCAGGTGGGGGGAGCCGTATAGTGAGTTTTGGTCATAATTTGAAATGACCATATTAGCGGAACGCCATAAAGCGAAACGCCATAAAGCCGGGCCCTACTGTATACGCAAATACAGTTACATAGATTATCATTCATAGCAGTGTATGTATAGAGAACCTGGGATAACCCAAAAAAGTCAGACAAAGTGACTTATTTCCAGTACCTGGCTTGGGCTTGCCATATATGATTTTTGGTAAATATTTTTTTTCTCGGTTGTTTGTTGGGCTATCTCATTGAAACTTGGGCAGTGTATGATTGAAAGATGCTTCTTAACGTACATCAAAAATAAAAAAGACGGACGATAAATAAGGGAGTTCACTTCTTAGCCATTAGCCACCTCTTTGCAGTATATTTTCGTGTGGTTTTTATGGTTGTATTCTCATTTTTTTTAGACTCATTTGATAGAATGGAAGATATGTTACAGAAATATACATGATTTTGATTGCTTTCATGACAGAAAGTACCTTGAAATTGAGCTCAAAGTAGCGGAAATGTTCGATTTTTGCCTTTGTTCAATGAACTTTATGTAAGTCACGTTGGTTAAATTTTATTAAGTGTATTCTAACCTAACCACTCTGTAATCCGGCAAACTCAGTAATCCGGCACACTACAGGTCCCAATGATGCCAGATTTGTGATGGAGGACCTGTAGTAGTAGTAATACAATATGTTAGAACAATTGACTCGCACAAGAGTAAAAGGATATAAAAGCTATAACTTGGGTAACATAAAAAATAGCTGTTTCTAATACAATTAAACAAAATGAAGGCAGCTTCACCATCTCTGAAGTCTTAGCAAGAATCCTCCTGAAAACAGTAAACCCTGCCATCACATAGTCTCTCTTGTTAATACTACACAAAGCACATTCATTGGAACAGGCCTTCTCTATCCAGCCTCCAATAGAAATATTTGTCTAACCTATTTTTTATGTTACCCAAGTTATAGCTTTTATATCCCTTTTACTCTTGTGCGAGGTCAATTGTTCTAACATTTAAATTGTATTACTAACTACCTACACTACAACTGTTACTGTAAATTATCTCACTACTACTGCTACCACTATTTTTGCACCTCACTCTGAGCCTATAATACCTTCTGTTCCAAGTACTGTTTGACGCTTGACAAAGCTCCTGGAGCTTAGCGAACATGCCACAATAAAAATGTCAAATTAGTTGCAGCATTTGTCCTTTTACTTTAACAACTGTTGGTTCTCAGAACCATTCATCTATAATCCTGTCTTGACACAGCAACATCATGGGATCTTAATACAGAATATTCTTCACTTGCCGTAACCTTTTAGGCATGACTTACTTCAAACATTTTGTCCAAATGTAACAACGCACCTGTGACTGCAGCACCGTCTACGCCTACAGTATATTGTCACTACTTTCACACAGTATGCGTATCTTTTCAAGATTGATGGACTGATTACATCAAATCAATGCTTGAGGGACTGATTACTTCAAACTACTCCTGTTCTTCACCATTCTCTCCTTGTATGACTGAAGACATGCGATGTGTGGTGAAACATTTCCTCATTAAAGAACCCAAGTTTGCATCATTTTCCTAATTTATCATACAAATAATTTAACCTAATTAGGAGGACTTAACCTAATTTTTTTTTTTTTTTTTTTTTTTTTTTTTTTTTTTTTTTTTTGTTTTTTTTTTTTTTTTTTTTTTTTTTGAAGCAGTTGTGACAGAACCTACAAGGGGAAATAACCTGCTGACTTAGTTATGGCCAAAACAATGAATCCCTTGTTAATAATTTAGAAATTTCCGAGGAACTGCTGTGCTAGCGACCACAATCAATTGCATTTTAAGCATTGAATGTAAGTACGAGGTAAGCGATAACTCAGTAACAGTCCCAGATTTTCGTTTTAGCAGATTATACGATGGGCTTAAGACACTGGTCTGAAGGAATTAGACCTAATCGGTCTTCTTCCTCAGACCGAACCTAATTAACCCCCCAATCTCCCCTCCCTCATCCCATCCTCCCCATCCTCCCCTTTTTCCTTTCCTCCTCCTCCTCACCACTCCTCCCTTTTGCCCTTTTCCTCTTTTTGTCCCTTTGGGATTCTCCCACAGGCACAGCTAGTTTTCACTAGTAGATGAAAAGGGACATATAACCGGTGTCGATCCCATTCCGTTGAGGTTTCTGCGAGTGGCCGTAGTTGCCGTGGAATCTGGATTGCCTAGGGATGTCCCGATCCCTCTCCGGTAATCCCCGAGTAGCTTTGGGTCCCTTTTGGCGACGGGTGTATCTCTTGAAGCCAACCTTTCGGATGTCCCGGGTGGTGGCTGAAGGAGGTATGCGTTTGTGGCGGATACCGGGGCGCCCTCTCTTTTGACCACCACTAGTAGCTCGTGCAAGATGTGAGGTATGCTATCACAGGCCACCCAGAATGCTGTTTACCTGCATGAAGGGAAGGGTATGGTGCACTGGTACCATGCAGCATCTGCGCAACTAGCGTTTCGGTCCTCTTGGGATCGGAGGAGATTTCCTGTCTGGCCCTTACACATCCTCCTAGGAACTTATCCCCCCCGGTCCCCCCTTTTTTTTTCTTTTTTTTTTTTATTTTTATTTCTTTTCTCTTTCATTTTTTCTTAAAAACAAAAAGAAAGAAGTAACCTAAACTCATAGCAGCCCTATTCCGCATGAACCTGGTACCCCCCCCGGGCCCTTCTTGATACCGCACGCCCGTTCTGACCCCCGCCCGCCTCGTCTTTGGACCACTCTTCAGACATTTCCTTTCCTCATTCCTCTGTACCTATTGCCGGTGCCTGTTTCCTCACCTGCTTCAGGTACTGAGCCTCGCTGACTCCTTCCGATTTACCCAGAACCTCGCTCATCCTCTGACTAAGCTTCCGCCTCGTCCCTCTCGGTGCGGCAATTTTTCAAATCGCCGACCCGTTCCACTCGGACCAACTCCTGGTCCCCGCCTAAACGTCCAAACACAATTACCTGCTGATGATACTTCTCACTTCTCCACCTTCACCTTCTCTTGTCTTCTTCAGAAAAGATCGACACGTCCTTCAACTACCTTTCCACGCTTCAGTTTTCAGACTGAACAGTGACTAATTCTTCACTTTTAAGACCAACTTCCTCTACTGCCTATCTATCTGACCATAGTATTGCAAGGCACTCCTACGCCATGTTGGTAAAGAATATTTCTTTTCATCTCTAAAGCGGTAAACCGCGCATCATTAACCTTACAGAATGCTACCCAGGCTCGTGAAGCTCTCTCGTCTTTCCCATATAGATTACTGTTCCTGTCTACCACTTGAAAAAACCATCATTCCCTCTAATCTTTTAGTGGTACCGTTATTCTGCCCCATACATAGTTCAACAAAATTCGAAAGGAGCATGTGTGCCATACCGACATTCTAAGAACAGCTGGAACACCAAGATCTTCCCAAGTCCTCAAGGTAGACCCTTACGTTCCTTCCTGCCCGTGGGCGGAGACGATACCCTAGCAAGTGCCTCGTTTTAACTTTTGACAGCCGAGATTCTCCCATCCTCAGTTTAATAGCAAGTACATCGTTACAAGTTTTCGAAAGTGACCCTACACCACAACAGTTTAAGAAATTGCTGGCGATTTGGCCATCCATCGAAATATTGCAGATCTATCGCCGAATGCCCGAGTCTGTGGAGCCGATGACCATTCTAATACGTCTTGCAATCGATCTCCCTCTTGCCTTAAAACTGACATGAGAGCTCACCCGTCTACTCTCGCCGTTGTCAGGTCTATTAAACAAGCGTGAATTCCGTTACCTCAAAGAGACAGAAGTCACCCATATTCCATGGCAGTTCTCATCTCCGCCTCCAAGGGAGACTCCCTACGTGTTTTCTTATTTCCCGTGTTTCAAAACGTCCCCCCCCACTTCTGTTATCCCATCTTCTACACCCACCTCTGTGTTACCTCTCCCATAATCCACTTCCTGTATCACATAATCCTTTTTGCTTGTCCCTCTCGAGGGCTCAGACGTCCCTACTTCAATAACGCCCCTCAGTCTAATAATCTTCGCTTCTTTTTCGATTTCTCTCTTACAAGCCTCAGTACGACGAGACCTCGTACGACACCTCTTCCCAATCGTCCCTCTACTTCTCAATTTCCTCAAAAGTCAAAAAAATGTCTCGTGTAACAAACACTCTACACCCATCTTCCACCTCCTCAATTACCCTCCTGTTCTCTGTCCCCTATTCTTCCCCTCCACTGGCTCCAGTACTAAGTGCAGAGGGAAGCACCTCTCACTCCTCGTAATGTAACCTTCCTCCCCTGTTCCCTCCCAAGTTTCTTCCTCTTCTGCTACCTACACAGGTTTCCTGTCTCTTCTGTCCCCTGCCACGCTTCTTCCAGTTCCCTCCACCCTTTCGCCCCCAACCCTACCATTGGTACAGTCCAATACAGTTTCCAATCGTTACTCATACCTCCCCCAACATTCCCAATATTGTCTCACTCCCATACAACTATCTCTGATTTCTGAAACACTGAAGCAATCTCTGAATAATATTGCAGAGACCAAATCCATCAATGGACACTGATCCACCTTTCCGCTCTTTCTCTCTCCTCTGCTCCTCTATCGCAATCCTTACTCTTCACAGCGCACCGTTCCTTCCATGCTTGAACATTTTCCCTGCCTCCGCATGTGGACTTTTCTAACCCTCTCTAGTCCCGTAGAACCCTTTACCTGCGATTTCCAAAGTATCTTTATCATTGCCATTCATGGCCTTTTTAACAGTGGAATATAACGTGGCCACAGGGTAATCGGGTGAGCTTCAGATGTTACTCTCCCAGTTTGCCCCTGTTGGTGTTTGCTTACAGGAACCAAAATTACACTCTGGCAGTTATCTCTCACATCTCAGGCTATAATTTATTGTATTCTTCAGATCCTTTCCTGATGGGTACCTTTAATGAAGTGCCCTTCTTCTCCGCACTGATATTCCGTACCATCACTATTTGTGTTCATACTTCGCTGCATACACAGCAGCCCTATCCACTACGTAGGTGGTATAACGCTCTGTTCTTTATATCCTCTCTCCTTCCTCGGGCATTATCTATTCCGGATTTGCCTATCCTTGTTTTTTCGTCATTAAACCGCCACCATTTGTTCTTGGTGATTTTAATGCCCACACGATTTCCTCTGGGAGGGTCTCACTGTGATTCCCGTGAATTCAGTTAGAGGCTTTTCTTGCACCCACCCCCTCCGAATGTTTTAAATACAGTACTCCACCCATTTTGATCCTCCGACTCATACTCTCATCTTGCATCGTCTCTCAGTTTGCTCTTTCCTCCGCCGCATTAGACTTACTTGGTCTGTTCTCCCCGGACTTACATGACAGTGATCATTTCCCAATCATTCTTACATCCCTTCATATTCGCTCCACCTCTTCCGCACCCCACGCTGGCAATTTAATCGGGTAAATTGAACCTTTAACTCACACCTGACTGTTTTTAAAGAGGTTATACTTATCTTCCCGTCCTCCCATCGATGAGCTTTTTACACCTCTCTCATTCCTCCGTTTTCACACCTCACCGCAGCTCTCATTCTATACCCCAAACTTCGAGCGAGGCAATCCAGAAATGCTGCCTTGGTGGTCTCCTGCTTGTGCTCGTGCAGTATTTGAAACGCGCTGCATGGGGCATGTACCGGTACAATAGAAACCACAGAGCGACTCCTTGATTTTTAAACAAGAAGCGTGCGATCGCTCGCCGTGTCATCCGGACGCTAAAACGCACTTGCTGGCGAGATATGTCCTCCACCATCACCTCTGCTTCCTCTATGGAGTGGCATGGTCTGGAAAAAAGTACGAAAATCTGAGTGGTATATATTCTCCTGACCCAGCTCTGTTCTGCCGGGTTGCCGGTTTGAATATAGCAAACCCCACTAGATGTTGCCAATGAACATTGCAATCATCAGGTCCGTATTTCCTCAGGGACTCCATCTATGCCCCTCATTCTTTCTCAAAGTCTGCCAAGAGAGTTAGCACCCTTGGACTTTTCTTCTCTCAGAGAAGAACAGTATAAAGTGCCTTTGACACTTAAGAACGGAGGGCAACACTCTCAGCTTGTCGGGGATCAATCCGGCACTGGGCCCGACGAGCATTCATAATCAGTAAGCTACAACATTTACATCATCAGCCCTTGCAGTCCTATTTATACGCCTTTACAATCTTAATTGGTCACAAGGAGTTCTTCCACCAGCTGTGGAAATCCGCCATTGTTCTCCCTTTCCGCAAACCAGCACTACGGGACATGAAACCTCCCCACTATCGTCCCATTTCTCTTACCAGTGCAGTTTGCAAAGTAATGGAACGTCTGTAAATAGACGTTAATGGTGGTATTTAGAAGACACACAACATCTCTCCACTCGTCAATATGGCTTTTTCGTAAGGGACGTTCTAACATAGACCCCTTACTCTTACTGCGCTTGATACTGTATGTCGTAATGCCTTTGCGAATATCCACTCAGTTATTGCCATATATTTGATTCTTGAGAATCAAGATATGACACAACTGGAGGTAATAATATTTTAGCCCAAGCCCACTCCTAGGCCTTCGAGCAATCTACCATCCTTCCTTAAGAACTTTTTAACTGACATGCATTTCCGTGTTCGGGTTAAGTAATGTTCTCTCGTCCCGGACTTTATCCAAGCTGAAGTGTCCCCCCAGGGATTGTGTTCTGAGCACAAACACTTTTTCTCCTTGCTATTATATGATTGTGCCTCTAGTCTTTCCCCTCAAATTAATTGGTCATCACTCTATGCTGAAGACCTTCGCTATTGCCTGTGCATTCGCTGACTTCACCTCCTTACAGTTTTCCTCTCCAGCCGCAGTCCGACCAGTGTTTCAATTGGGCCACTCACACATGGTTTTAATTTATCCAGCACTAAAACCCACCAAAAAGAAATCATCTTTCACTAGACGCTCTGTCATCTCTGATCCATCCTTGTACCTCTATGGCTCACGTATCCCGAACGTGATACAGGTCAAGTTTTCTGGCCTCCTCTTAGATCGTAGGATATCCTGGAAACCTCACATTACCTCTCTGAAGGCCAACTTGTCACAGCCGGCTGAACCTTCTTAAAACCCTTTGCTCATCTTTCCGTGGGACTGATCGCGAATCCTCCTTCACCTACATTCCCACCCTTATTTTATCGAAACTTGATATGTGACCAATCTATTCAGCGGCATCTCTTGCTACTTCTCTCTACTAGCCTTAAACCCATTCATCACCAAGGATTAACGTTATGCCTTGTTAGCTTTTTTAGCTCCTTCCCCTGTCAAAGCCTCTATGCAGAATCGAACGTTTCCATCCTTAACCGATCGCCGTGATGCCCATTGCCTGCGCTACTATGTACGCCTCTCATGAACTCCGCAATCCTTCCATTTATAGAATGGTCACTGATATTAGTAGACATTCTTTATTTGTTCGCACGCCCCGCTTACTCGTCCCTTCTCTCTTCGCCTTCATTCGCTCTTGTCTTCTCTTCAACTACCACCTTTCTATGTACATGTAGCATCACCGTTCCTACCCCCCTGGAAGTTCCAGCTGTTCGAGTCTTGTTTCTTTCTCCCTCTCCCTGCTCGAAAGCCCAACTGTCTACGGTCGGCTCCCGCTCCTCTTTTTCTTGACCACTTTCACTCTCATTCTCATGCAATTGCGTGTACAACAGATGGCTCTAAGTCTTCTTGGAGACGGCGTAGGATTCGCAGCAGTGTTTCCGACAGCGTCGTACAAAGGCAATTTACTATCTTCAGCTAGTATATTTTACCTGCTGAATATATTCCAACCTTACAGCACTTACCGTATTTGCATCTTATGCCTGTGTCAACATTTGTGGTTGTCTCAGACTCCCTTATTGCTTTACAGGCTAACAAAAAATTTGATACACCTCTCAACCCTTAGTCCTCTCCGTATCCAACTTTGGCTACGCCGCATCTTTACTAAGGCATAAAGATATTGTTTTTTGTATGGTCCCTGGTCATGTTGACGTACAGGGCAATGAACAGGCAGACACTGCTGCGCGGTCAGCAGTACAGACCTAACCAGTTTCCGTATAGAGGTATTCCATGTACGACTATTTTGCTGTAATATCTTCCCACCTTCCACACTCCGTTGCAACAACGATGGTCTATACTATGCCGGCAGACAAACTTCAGTCTATTAAAACCGAGTATAGGTTACTGGGCCTCTTCTTATCACCATGACGAGTTGGGAGACTACTCTCTCCCGTCATCGCATAGGCCATACTCTTCTTACTCATGGATAACTCATGGAGAGCCCGTATTTGCTCCCTTCTGTGAGAATTGCCAAGCTTCATTTATCAGTCAGCCACATTCTGTTTGGACTGCCCACTTTATCAACGACACGCAGAAATTTACCTCTTCTTCGTCTTCGCCCCGCTGCTCCTCTCTTTACCTTCCCTTCTCGCGGATGGACCCACCTTTTCATCCGGACACTCTCATTGACTTTTGACAACGACTGACTTACTCCACAAATTTTGATACGTTCAGCGAGGAAGTTGGCCCTTTCTACTTGTATCTCCTTGCTACCCTCTACCCCGTACTATCCCCAGCCCCCGTCTGTTTTCGTAACCTGCTGATCATCCCCCCTCCCTTCTTGCCATCACAATTCCTTGCTTCCTTCTACCCTGCAGCGCAGTATAGCCCTTGTGGCTAGCGCTACTTTTGATTATAATAATAATAATTGAGAACACTTTACACTGTTTGACTGGGGTAACGAAGTGAGCATCAATATGACATTTTTCCTGAAAACAATACATGCTGCTCAAAGGACGTTTATCCCATATAAAGAAATTAGATCAAATAGAAATGACCCAAATGGGATGAATAATAGCCTGAAATATCTACTAAGGCATAAGAAAGGAATTTATAAAGGCGTATCAAAAGAGGTGAGGTCATATTATGAATCAGTATATTGACATTAAGAGGGACATTAAAAAAGGGGATAAGAAAAAGCCTAAAAGTGACTATGAAATTAAAGTTGCTAGGGATTCTAAAACTCACCCAAAAAAGTTTTTTTTCCAGTTCTATAGAACAAAAGTTAGAGAGATAAGATAGGTGCCCACATAAAAATACCTATGGTCACCTTACTGACAAAGATAATGAAATGTGCTCGATTTTAATAATTATTTTCTCTCATTTTTACACAGAAGACACTAACAGAATAATTCAGTATTAATATATATAGTTGCTAGAATAAGATAAATTATTAACAACACAGTCACAGTGAAATTGGTAGGAAGCAGATAGATAGACTGAAGCCAAATAATTCCCGTACCTGGATGATATTTTTTCAAGGTTTCAAAGGAATGCAAAATGAACTCTGTGAACCATTAACTAATATTTTAATTTATCTCATCAAACATGTGTATTCCCTCCTGATATGTGGAAGATGGCTAATAAATTCCTATTTTTATAACATAGGGGACAAGTCCAGTTCCCCGTCAAATTACAGCCCAATAATCCAGACCTCATTGTAGGCAAATTACAGAGAGTCAATTGTAGCTGAGATTATAAGAAGCCATCTCGATAAGCATAGCTTGATGTAATGATAACTCATCATGGATTCACAAGAGGCCGGTCTTGTTCTAACTAATTTATTACATTTCTTCAGTAAAGCTTTTGAGCTGTTGACCACGATAAAGAATTTGATATATTTTACTTAGATTTTAGAAAAGCCTTTTGATAGAGTCCCAAACCATAGACTGTTAAAGAAAGTGGCAAGCTCATGCATTGGGGAAAAGTTCTCTCGTGGATCGAGATTGCTCACTGACAGGAAGCAGAGAGTGTCCAGTCAAAGGAGGTGGGAGGCATTAAGTTAGTTGATGAGAACATTTTTATTCTGAATATTTCAAAAGTAGGTTGAGAGAATTAAGCATCTTAAAACTTTATTTAATTTTGTAAGTGCATGTGTGTATACAGCAGTTATGTTAATATATGCATATTAATTTTGTTATTGCATTACCGTAATTTCTTGAAAAAATGGTTTGCTACAACAGGTTAAAAATAAGGTAATAGGTTCTAGTTATGCTAACATCACAGTAATAATGATTTTTGTTTGTTTTTGACTGTAACCTTAATGTTTGTTTTTCATAGTTGATTTTTCTTAGTGTGTCAGTAAAATTTTGAATACTTTTGTATTACTGAAGAAGTTTACAAGCTCATTGTACAGTGACATGAATATCGTGCATTTATTTGAATTATTTTTTTTGGTTGGATGAGAGAGAGCAGAGACCATGTGCAGCTTCCTGTTCATTACATCCTCTTGGTAGTCTCTTTTAGCAATTTCTGGCTCCTGGTTTGCTAGAGCTGTAGTGGAAAGAATGAGGTGGAGCAAACTTAAATGAAACTTTAATCTGTAATGTTCTTGAATGAAGATGTATTTCATCTACTTGTCACATCGAGGCAAGTGTGGCTGACAATATTCATCATTTCTGGTGGGTTTTGTTCATCACACAAGCTGTTCACTGTTAATTTAATGGATAAAAGTCAAATAAATTTTGCCGGATTTATTTTTTTTTAGAGCTATCAAGGTTTTTCTATTTTCTTAAATGTAAACTTTCATGCTGATCTATACAATAGCTTTTTTTTTTTTTAATGTTTTTGTCTTCATATTTCATACATGATATTCACCAAAAGGCTAATAGTAACTGAGAAATGCAATAAAAATACAGTACGTATGTATCATTTTACAGTGCGAATGTTATTGCTCCCAATAATTTAATATTTAAGCATTACACTGTAATGCTTATGTTAATTTAGTCATTTTCTGGAACATTATAGCAACACACAGACATCATACAGAATAACTTGCCAGATGAAGTTATAAATTACCATACCCCCGGCCGGGATTGAACCCGCGGTCATAGAGTCTCAAAACTCCAGCCCGTCGCGCTAACCACTAGATGGTTTATTTGCAATCGTGTCATTACGATTTCTTAAGTCAGTTATAAATTACACCATCACTTATTACATCATTACCAAAATATTGTTTAATTCTTTTGAAGTTAAATTTTGTTTTAGCTTTAAATCTTAATTTATTTCATTTCACTAATCCTCATTTATCACTAAAATTTGTATTACAATACTATGGAACTTTTTATACCATGTCTAATATATTTTATATTGTTAATAGTAATCCTAGATTTAGACTACCTGAAATACCAAAAATAACTATGGAATTTTCCCTGTAAGATTTGCCATTTACTCCTAACCTACTATTGTAGCTCAAATGTATCTTCCTGTTTACAGACAAAGAAGTACGGTTTTGGTTCCAGTTTTCTCAAGTCTTCTCCTCTTCCTTCTTTATACCAGTGGTTATGGCAAGCAAAAGCAGCATTTGTTTCCAAGTTTTCTCTCTATTTCCATGAAACACTGGCAGCACAGAGCTCCCCATCAGAAATGAAGGCTCTTATCTCCCGACAAGGACAAGCGTGTGATTATGTTTCTAAGTCAGTTTTCAGAAAATACCCTTGCTGAATTATACCATTAAATGATATTGGATACGTATAACTACATATGCTAGTGCAAATAATTCACCTTTGTGGCCTACCATTTAGTTTTGAATGTAATAATAATAGTGCAGATAATAATGCAATTTGCTTAGTAGTGTGCACATGCATGTAAGCGTGTGCATGGGTGCGTGTGTGTGACAGTGACAATGATGATGATGATAATGATGAAAATTTTTATTTGATTATTTATTTCTTCAGGATTCAGAGCTTTCAGAGAAGGAGCGATGCAGTGAGTGTATGTTTAGTCTTCGAAGCAGCTGGAGTTGAGCACTATCGGGGTGCAGGTTATCATCATCCAGAAGAATCAGTGCCCCCTCCTAAGGGCTTAGATAGTTACCCTGCTATCTTCACTTATCCTCCTGTGAGTTCTTCAATAGTTTTGTTTTTGTTTTTTCTTTTAAATGTACTAGCTGTCTCCCACCAAAGCAGAGTGACCTAAAAAGAAAAACAAAATTTATTCTTACATTTAGTAATTCATACTGGAGAAGGGGTTACTAGTCTCATGCTGGAAGCATGAGACTAGTAACCCCTCTTAACCCCTAGTAACCCCTCTTAGGACATATGTGGTTTATAGAAGAAGAATTATTTTGCACTTTCCCATGGAGATTCAATAGTTTCATGTTTAATACATGAAGTTGCTCTCATTTGGTAAGGAATTATAGACACACTCTTATATCTGAAGCAAACAATGCATCTCATAATCTGTACTTTCTTAACCAGACAGATGGTCATTCTGTTATGTGGAAGTCACTGTTTCACTTTGGCAGAAATTAATCTTAAATACAGTGGACCCCCACTTAATGATCACCTCCCAATGCGACCAATTATGTAAGTGCGTTTGTGCGTGTATGTTTGGGGATCTGAAATGGACTAATCTTCTTCTTTCTTTCTTTCAACGTACCAGCCGTATCCCACCGAGGCGGGGTGGCCCAAAAGAAAAAACTAAAGTTTCTCCTTTTAAATTTAGTAATATATACAGAAGGGGTTACTAGCCCCTTGCTCCCGGCATTTTAGTCGCCTCTTACGACACGCATGGCTTACAAAGGAAGAATTCTGTTCCACTTCCCCATGGAGATAAGAGGAAATAAACAAGAACAAGAATTAGAAAGAAAATAGAAGAAAACCAAGGGGGGTGTGTATACATATATATTCTTGTACACGTATGTGTAGTGTGACCTAAGTGTAAGAAGTAGTAGCAAGACGTACCTGTAATCTTGCATATTTATGAGACAGACAAAAGACACCAGCAATCCTACCATCATGTAAAACAATTACAGACTTTCGTTTTACACTCACTTGGCAGGACGGTAGTACCTCCCTGGGTGGTTGCTGTCTACCAGCCTACTACCTACAATGGACTAATCTACTTCACAATATTCCTTATGGGAACAAAGTCGGTCAGTACTGGCACCTGAACATACTTCTGGAATGAAAAAATATCGTTAACCGGGGGTCCACTGTACGTTAAAGACCTTCTCGGGAGCAAGGTGATTCATTCATTCATTAGAGATTTGCCGGTACTTCCAGCCCAGGTCTTCTCCAGATGGTGACCCGGCGAGCAAGGTGATGATACTTTTCTTCACTTAGCCCATGTGTATACTATAAAACTTTCAGACTAGAGAAAAGATGAATAAATATGGTTATGAAAACAAGTTGTTTGAAGAATGCAAGAAAAGTAACATGTTTGAAGTTTGATTATGGATTTTGAACAGTGAAATATACTACAGGCTAACGTGTACTTGAGCTGCTCTTTTGAACAATAGCGGTGGTACGTGAGTTAAGTTACCTAACTTGTTTTTCGCTGAATTTATTATCATTAAGATCTTAGTAGGATTAACCATACCATGGGTGGGGTTTGAACCCATGGTCAGAGAGTCTCAAAACTCCAGACCGTCACGTTAGCCATCGTGTCATTATGATTTCGTGAGTCAGTTAGTAGGATTAATTGGAGCCAGATAAAGGGAGTTAGGAAAACTTCCAGCAAGGTAGCCATTCGCTGAGCATTGGTACTTGGGACTTTGCTAGAAAGACTTGATCCTGTGGTAGAGAAGAAATCATTTACTGTATTGGCTGTTTCAGCAGGCTGAATATAAGATTCATTGGGTTTAGTTAGGACAATATCTTTAGTTTTGGTCAATTTCGAAGAGCCCAGGATTTGAGTGTGTGTGTTTCAGGTCTTCTTCATATCACCTTTTATTTCATTGAACCTGCTGGCATAATAGAGTTGTTTAGATTTCCTTATTAGTGTGGTAAGTACTGATGCATAGACTTTTGCTTGTTCTTTAGTTACCAATCCCAGTCTGTACTATTTTTCGTAGTTATGTTTTTTATCAATGGACCTGAGGATGCTGTGTGTTAGCCATGGGCTATTTAGTCTGTTGTGATTTGCTTAATTTTAATAGGACAATAGCTATTGTAGAGGCTTTGCATTTTTGGCAGAAAAATACTGACCCATTTGTCAATGACCCAGTCATCAGTAAACTGTGTGTGCCAGTCAGCATCAGTTACTGCTATAGTGAAGTTATTTAATGATGTCTCATCATTAACCCTTTCAGGGTCCGTACCGTAGATCTACGGCTTTGCGTTGAGGGTCCAAACCGTAGCTCTACGCCATGAGCTCATCTCGCTCTGATATGCTGTGAGCGGTAAATTTGGGCCTAGATATGAGAGAATCTATCTATGTGGTATGCGTGCACCACATAAAACAAATCCTGCAGCACGCAGTGCATAATGAGAGAAAAAACTGAGACCGTAATTTTTGATTAAAACAGTTACTTTGCAGTGTTTTTTCGTTTGTTTTTTATAGTTGTAGTTGTGATTTCTTGGTCTCATTTGATAGAATGGAAGATACATTACAGAAATAGAGATGATTTCGATTAGTTTTAGCACTGAAAATGGCTTGAAACTGAGCTCAAAGTAGCGGAAATGTTAAATTTTTGCTAATGTTCAAGAGTAAACAAATGACCTCACACGTCTAATACACGCCAGCTGGTGGATGTAATATATGTTCACAAATGTGGTGATATTATTTATACAATTATTACAATATTGCATAACAGTAAATCTTCTATTTTTTGGTTTGAATAAAAATTCATTATGTGAATTAAAAATCAAAACGGAATTCATTTGTAAAGCCTGAAAATGTAACTAATGAACAGAGGAAATGTTAGTTTAGTTCTAGGAATGCCTGCATTGTTTATTCTGAACCCTATTTTGAAATGGGAATATTTTGAACTTTGTTAAATTGGCCAAATCACCAATTTCCAATCACTTTATTTTGTAGTTGAAACAGTTGACTTGGCGATTTCTTGTGCTCAATCGATAGAATAGAAGTAATACTAGTGAAATAGCCAAGAATTTGGTCAACTGGAATAATGTAATTGGCCTAAAATGGGAGTCAGAGTCGGCAAAATCGCCGATGCGTAAATATCGCTGAGAGCATAATTCGCGAGAGCATAATTTCGTCAATTTTCCATCAAATTTTGTACTTTTTGTTTTATTACATTCAGAAAAAGATTTTCTACCATTTCATAAGAAAAAATAACAAAATTATTTTTTGAAAATTCTTGGACCCTGGTTTACACTTTGGAATTTGGCCTCTGGACCCTGAAAGGGTTAATGAGTAAATAGAATCATCAAAACTTATTTCTTGGGTAGCACTGAAAATTGAGTTGGGCAAATATTTTGTTAGTGGGAACGATTGTAAAAGACCTGCCTAGTATGGGCAAACAGGCCTGCTGCAATGTTTCTCCTTTCTTATGTTCTTATGTAAGAACCCTTGAAAAAAGCTCATCAGGACCAGGTGATTTATTTTGCTTCAAACGGTCTATCTGTTTGATAACCATTTCGCTAGTGACTGTGATATTATATAATTTATCTTCTTCAGGCCCACTGAAAAACCTTATTATTGGGGTATTATTAGTGTCTTCCTGAGTGAAAACCGAGAGAAAATAATTATTAAAAATAGAGCACATTTCATTCTCCTTGTCAGTAAGATACCCATAGTTATTTTTAAGGGGACCTATCTTATCTCTTAACTTTTGTTCTATACACTGGAAAAAACTTTTAGGGTTAGTTTTCAAATCCCTAGCAACTTTAATTTCGTAGTCCCGTTTAGCTTTTCTTATCCCCTTTTTAATGTCCCTCTTAATGTCAATACAGTGGACCCCCCAAGTTTTGTGATTAATCCGTTCCAGAGAGCCTGCCGAAAGTCGAAATTGCCGAATGGTGAAACCATTTTCCCCATAAGAAATAATGGAAATAAAATTAATCCGTTCCAGACACCCAAAAATATTAAAATAAAATATTTTTTTTCAAATTAAATAAAGATTTACATACTGAAAACAATGAGAAATAAAGTACATGCATATAAAAAATAATAACATTACACTGACCTTTACTGAAGACTAATGGGTGGATGGAAGAAGGGAGGAGGGGATAGGAGGAAGGTGTACACTATTGTTTGGAAGGAGAATCTCCTTCCATTAGGACTTCAGGTATGAAGTCCTTATCTGGGGTTACTTCCTTTCTTTGTTTTTTAAAGACACTGGCACTGGGAACAACTTCAGTCACTGTAACTATGTCGCACAAAATATCTGTCCAAAGAGCTCTGTTTCTGGCGTTTCTTTAAGATTTGTCTGAAGTGGGACACAACACTGTCATTGTACATGTTGCCAATACAGCCTGCAACAGCTTTGTTAGGGTGAAGTTTATCCATAAATGTTTGCACTTCCGTCCACTTTGCACAAATGTCCTTAATCTTTGAAGAAGGCACCTTCCTCCATCTCTCTTCCTCCTCCTCCTCCTCTGCAGCAGTTTCCTGAGCTGTGATCTCTTGCTGTTGCAGATGAAGCTCTTGCAGCTCTTCAGTGGTTAGCTCTTCCCTGTGGTCCTCCACCAACTCTTCCACATCCTCACCACTCACCTCCAACCCCAGGGACATCCCCAATGCCACAATAGATTCCACAACTGGCATAGGCTCCTTAGGGTCAGCCCCAAACCCTTGAAAATCCCTCTCTTCTACACATTCTGGCCACAATTTTCTCCAAGCAGAGTTCAAAGTCCTGGAAGTCACTCCCTCCCAAGACTTACCTATAAGGTTTATGCAATGAAGGATATTAAAGTGATCTTTCCAGAACTCTCTTAGGGTCAATTCTGTGTCTGAGGTCACTTCAAAACACTTTTGAAACACTGCTTTTGTGTAGAGTTTTTTGAAGTTTGAAATAACCTGCTGGTCCATGGGCTGGAGGAGAGGAGTTGTATTATGTTTGGTAGCAGAGCAGGTGTTGCGCAACTTAACATTAAGATCGACAACACTCTAATTGCCAGACATAATGAGGGCAAATTCCTTGGCCTATACCT